TTAGTGAAGGGGTTTTATTCCCTCCCTAACTTCAGGGGAAAATCTCTACCTGGGGAAACAACCTTTCTTGGAAAGGTGACCTTGGTTAAAACACATAGTGCCAAGAAGGTGAGCAAACATATTAAGAACAGTATGCCATATATGCCAGGTCCCTTGAAACAGCAAGGATGGACCGGCTCCCAGCAAATATGTATAATTTTTGATTCACCTATTAGATGGAATTGTTGTGTTGGCTACTGTCATTTTTTTATTTGACAATCTCCAAGGGGAAAGAGGTCAGTGCCCATGACTAACTAGTCAGGTATTGCATGTTTTAAACTTGTTTGGTGGCACACCAGTTGAAAATCATCGAGTCAGAGGAACATAGGATGGTTTCTAATAAGCAACTCTTTCAGTTAAGTTGACCAGAGAATAAGGAACCAGTAGAAGGATGTAGAGTTAATGGCGACACTGACAAACAGGAATTACTTGAACTGCAAATTTGATGTAAAAAGATTTTCCTGAGAGACCCTAGATTCCTAAAGGCTTTATACACAAAGATGAGATAAAGCAAGTAGATAATTTTAAATTATAAAGAAGTCACAAAAAATGACTTACCATATGTTTTTTATCCCAGTTGAGTCCTGTGAAATATCCTGTAGCAATAAACTTTTAAAAAGAAAGGAGACCAAAGTTAACAGGTGATAAATTTCGCCACCTCAACATAGTTTACTCTGGAGATTATATTTTAATCTATTTGTCTGTGATTCTCCCAAACCTCCCAGTCTTTCCACCTGAGCATCAGAAGAGGAGATGTAAGAGATGCTCAGCACTACCCAAAGACTCTGCTAGGATCAGCTGGGAAAAGCAGGCCCCTCTTTAAGTTCTAAGGTATTCCTCTCAGATGTTTGGCCCAGCTGGGCTCCAAAACAAAAGATAATTCTGGGTTCTGGGTCTGAAAAGGGGAAAGGTGAACTGTGTCTGCTCTGAGCAGATGGCAGACGACTTTCTCAGGCTGGAACTCTCTAAGCAAAGGCTGATATGGGGGCCGGAATCTAGTATAATGATCTCAGCCATTTTGGGGTCGGGGGAGAATTGAAGGAAGATTTTATTGTAACGCGCGCGCACAATAAGCAACTGGTACAAAAAAGGCCATTTCTGGTAATTCTGTTGATAATTTCTTTCCATGATTTCTCCCATTAAAGTACAGTTTTTCAAAGCAACCACCATGACAAAGGAAGCATCGAATTAGTCTATTTTCTTCTGTTGCAAGAATGCCGAATACTTACTGTCCTATCTATAGTTGTATCAGCAGTGTAATGAACACAGTGTATACTAACTATTCTCTGAACTCCAAGAACTGTTGAAGTCTCTGCTGATCTTCTGCAGATGCTTGAACAACATTCAGATGTTGATAAATGTAGTAGTTATTCGATAGACAACAGTTTTTGTGATGCTGTAAATACAAATCTTAATTTTTATAAGAAGCATCCACAGGGTTCCTGAAATCCAAGGTGGAATTTAGGAATCATGAAGAAGCTTGTCAACTACCCCTTGCAGCATCAACAATAATTACTGGTAGTGTAAACTGGACAATACCAAATCTATCTTCTGTAAATGCTGCTGCCACTGAGACAGACCTTCTAATGCGCACCCAAATATCTGGGGGGAAAACCCAGCCTGAATGGAGGCCTCTGGATGCATACTGAAAAAATACATTATCAGCACCCATTTTGACAAGAAATTCTTAATCTGTTCACATTTATTCTAAATCTATAATAAATCACACTGGGCTGTCTAGAAAATTCATTCATTTGCTGATCAGAAGCAGAAGTCCATAATCTTGGCCCTTTTCTTATTAGCTGAGAACACTGAGGTGACCCATAGCAGGCGTTTACATAAAAAGTTCCAGCCATCCAACTCATTACACTAGAGCCAAATGGGGACCCAAGAGGACTTGCAACATCGGTGTAGGTAATTTTGAGAGAACCAGTGATGTCTTTACTAATGGTAGCAATGAAGGTTGAGGCATATGATTAAATTTTGGGGTCTGAAAAGTAGTTTCTTCTGGAGAATTCAATTTCTTAGGTTCCATTGAGTATGAGGAAGGCATTACTCTTCCATTTGTAATAGCAGCTTCTTGGCAGAGAACCAGCTTCTGAGTCATATCATTTAAAAGATTCAAACACTCTCTTGAAATGGCTGTCTGATTGTGGGGATATCCACCTGGGTGTCTAAGACTAAAACCCTCTTGTCTTCATGAAAGAGGCTATTGACAAAGCAACATCAGGTCCTGCAAGGCCAAGTACTCTATGATGAGGGCCAGATTGCTGTTCAAAATTCCCTATTACTCATTGAACAGACTGTCCAATCTCAGAGGGAAGGCAGGGGAGGGGAAGAAGGGTAAGAGTTCATCCAAAGGACTTGTATGCATGCATATAAACATAACCAAAGAACACAGACAGTAGAGAGGGTGAGGGCATGTGCTGGGGGTGGGAACAGTTGGGGAAAGGTCAATGGGGAAAAAAGGAGACATATTTAATACTTTCAACAATAAATAATTTAAATTTTTTTAAAAAAAATTGTTTTAAAAATACGGAGGCATATTACATGATAAGGCACCTAATTCTAAGGGCAATTCACCAGTTCTCTCAGAGAGAGTTTACTTATCAGAACTCTCAGCACCTAGCACACTACTGAAGATACTGTGCTCAGTAAATAGCTTTTCAAGGAAGAGTGGAGTTTTTACAAGCAGTCTGCCAGGATTTAAAATTCATGCCTGCAGATCACACAAAGTCACACTGGGAAAATTCCTGTTGTGAAATGGGCAAGTGAGGAGTTGTTCGGTTTGATTTTTCTACAGTGCGACATGTTTAGTTTGAAAATCATATTCAGTATTACTTATATTTAGAAATGAAAACTCTACTAATTGTCTTTGAAATGCAAATTATTTAAAAGGCATGAAATATTTATGTTCATCTAAAGAGAACAGCGAATGACCAGCTGGCGTGGTTCAGTGGTTGAGCATAGACCTATGAACCAGGAGGTCACTGTTTGATTCCCGGTCAGGGCACATTCCTGAGTTGCAAGATTGCTCCCCAGTAGGGGGCATGCAGGACGAGGCAGCCAATCAATGATTCTCTCTCATCAATAATGTTTATATCTCTCTCTCCCCCTCCCTTCTCTGAAATCAATAAAAAGATGTTTAAAAGATAAAAATAAAGAGAGCAGGGATTTTAACAAATGAGACTACTATTTTTCATTTCATCCATTTGTTTATTGGATGATTCATTCATTCATCTACTGTGCATTAAGCATGAGTTTAGGTCCTGAGAATGTAACGGCAATTGAGACAATATCCTTACCCTCTTAGGAGTGTATGTTCTATTGGGGGAAACTCTAATGAGTCTATCCTTAAATATTGTGGCACAACAATGGGAGCCACGGCTGTGAGGATTGGATGGAAATAGCACTATACTAAGAATTTTATTTATGGCTCTACAATTAACGAGATGAGTGACGTTCATAAAATTGTCTTTTGGGATAACAAGGGGATTGAACCATAATAATTATCTTAAACTTCTTGTTAAGCTATGGAAGTCTGTGATTCTGTGAGTGCTAGCTAGATATGTTTAAATTATTAACTTCTCTCAAACTCAATTTCCTTATTTGCAAAGGGGAAAATGGGATATTTACCCACCTAATCCCCTAGATTGGTAGAAAAGAGCTAATGCCTTACTACATACACAAGGGGCATGGAAACCTTTAAATACTGAATACCTGAGAGTAGTTATTGCTATGATGATGATGATAGTGTCCAAATAGTCACTTTTACTGTGGAAGGGCCTGGTCTCCTTGGAGACCATGTTCATGGGATTCATTATTCTAGGATTCAAGACTGTCTTTATTTTTATTTTTTTATTGCTTAAAGTATTACAAAGGGTATTACATATGTGTCCTTTTTTTTCTGCCCTTGACAATCCCCTGGCCTCCCCTACCCCGCAGTGGCAAGACAGTCTTTATAATAATTTTTCTAAAGCTCCTGACAGTACTCACAATAAGTGCTCCCCAGAATGTATATCCTGTGCAGAAAACAAGTGGAAATTTTTGGGAGAAAAGGAAGTAATTAACTGCAAATATAGTTCCAATGCCCATAATGATCAAGGCAAGCAGGATCTGGATAGCCTGTGAAGAGAGAATTGGGTACATGAGGTCACAAGTGCCCAAGTCCTTGGACCTGCTCTCCCAGGTCCCTTGGGCTTCCCTCTAAGCTCCTTAATGCATTCCTCTTTCCATTGGCCAACCACGCTCAGATTTTCAGGGGCCCATTGTCTCTTTCCTCATCACATTTGCCTGGATCCTTCAAGTTCATATGGTTTACTCTTGTGCAACACTACTTGCTATATCTCCTGGTGTTACCAATTTATCTTGTATCAGATGAATTTGAGTATATGTCCTCTTCCTGAGGACAGAGACTACAAACTATTCACTCTTACATTTTTTCCCTTCTGTAGCATCTGCATCCTATTATTACCCCCACACCCCAACACACACACATTTCCCACGTTCATTGTATGCTTTTGGGATTGTAGCTCAGCCCACTTCTCTAATACTTTATGAAGATTGCTGGTGCAGAGCAGAGAGACGAGGGTAAGGTTGTGTCTCATCTCTTTATGCAGCGGCCTGACAAGAGCGAAGAGTAACCTAGTGGACTTATCAGTCTGCAGGGAGGGGAACTCCATGGTGGTCGTGCAGGGTCAGTGGCTCTTCTCAGGGCAGAGCTGTTCCCAGACCACACCTCTGTGTCACTGTGCCTGCCACAAGTAGTGAATTTACTCTTGTCCCTTCAATGTGCATGTATGACTGAAATTGTTTGTATGTGTATGTCCACTTTGTGGATGACTTTGGAGCATTCTGATTTTTAAAGAACTCCCAATGCCTTTAACAGCACGAAGTGGAAGTTTCAGCTCTCTTCTGATGGCTTTTGCTCCAAGCTCAGAGGTGCCACCACACCCTGATGTCGCCTCCTCAATAAAATATTTGGAAAAATTACACCGATTTCTTCCATCCCCTCTGCTATGATTCAAAGACAGTACTAACTCTTCATGAAACAGCGTGAGGATTTCCTCAGGGTCAGGGAGTTTGTAATTATAGGTAAATATTCTATTTCTCAGCCTTAAATAAGCCCTCAGAAACATTACTAGGACATGAAGCACACTGTGCATGTTTCTAAACAGAATTTCTATTTACCTTGTTTATTAAAAAGATCTAGGGAAATTGTATCATTGGCTCTTCTACTGATGACCTAATTATTTGTACAAGCAAATGACTTAGAAGTATTTATGATTAATCAGGAAGGATACATTGTGGCTGAAGGGGGCCAGGGGAGAGCTCACTCCCTTCCTGAAAAGCCTCTCTGGAAATATACATGGAGAAATAACCTCATTGTTCCCTTACAGGGAGACCCATGGATGGGAGAGGACTTACCCCCAAGACTCTTGGCTCTCCTTTGAGGAAATCCAGCAGAGAGCTATGAGGCCAATAGGGAAACGCAGTCAGTATAGTTTCTTTCTGTTGGACAGAGATGGTATGGGCCGATCTTTTGACCTTGAGTGATGGTTCCATGATTCAATGGCAAGCTCTATAAAAAGATGGAATGAGTGAACATTGTAACCACCATCATGGTCTTCCCTCAGTCTTACATGGAGTCCCTAATAATGAGCCCATAGTGATTTCTCCACTCAGTACTAGAACCACAGAATCATAGTCATTAAGTCATAGTGTCTTAGAATTCCAGAGCATATCCAGCCCCCTACCTTCCTGGTGAAGAATCCAGTTATCCACAAGACTTACTTTCTCATCAATTTATTTAGAAACAGACAATAAATGTAAAAACAAATTCCAATATCTATATTCATGAAATATAAAAGAACTAAAATGTATAGAATATTTACTATGCTCTAAGTTCTGTACAAGGTGCTTGTTTTTAACATGTATTGAAAATATTTTAACAATTCTGCAGTGCTGAAGCTGAGGTACAGAAAGGCTAAATTGCCTGAGAGCACATACCATGGAACAGGGGAAGGAGTCAAACTTTGTTTCTGTCTCCAAAATCTGTGCCATTTCTATTCAACCATGCTTCCACCCCCTTTCAGAAGCAGATTCCCACTTGTAGTTAATGAACTGTCTCCTGTATTGTTTGACCATATTCCTTTGTAGTATAAAAATAAGTCATTAAGAAGGCCCAGTTGCAGTTGCCACTTTAATAGAGCATATTTTAGCTTTCACAAAGACCAGGAAAACTAATTCTACTCAAGGTCTTCCTGGGTCAAAGGATACAAATACAATTAAAATAGTATAAAGTAATATAAAGTGTCTTTTTGGAATATTTCTTTCCACATTAATCCTTTATATTCCTATATTTACTATTATTTTAATTATTAAATCATAAAGGCAAACCATTTCAAAAAAACTATGTACAAATATTATATTGAGTATTTCCTAGTTTGTGGCAACCACACATAGCAGGTTTCTCAACCTTGGCACTGTGGGCATATAAGTCCTGGTAATTCTTTGTTATGGGGAGTAAGATGCATTGTAAGATGTCTCCAGACATGGCCAAATTTGCTTCCTGGGGGAACAAAATCATTCCAGGTTGAAAACCACTGATGTATAGAAATAATTGCAGAATGTTGCCTCTTGATTTTTCTGTTATATATAGACTGCCTCATTGGTTTTTACACCCAAACATCAGAGAAGGTATGTATTCCTCAACCCAACATTTTTCTGCCAATGTTTATTCAGGTAAATTTTAATTTATGTGCCTACAGTGCAACCCAACATTTTAAACAAGAAGTGTGAGATAAGTCTGTATTTAAATTCTAATCAGAACTGACAGACCATCAGAATCATGTGGAGTTTTGAAAAGCCTGCTGTGCAATAAAAGGAAGTGTGCCCCAGATGGTGCTGACTCTAACTGTAGCCACACACTTCACGCACAGCAGCTGTTACCAACGTTGTGATTATTTTGGTGAGCAAGTAATTTATAACCTGTAAATTTATTTCTTATATGTAGATAGTTTACTAACTTTTACTTACATTTTAGGGAAGTGGATGAGAGTTTAGGTTGAATAATAGCATATATTTTTTCCCTTTAAAATTATGAAAAAGAACTGTCTTCATGCAGAATTATTGATTTTTAGGAATAACTTACTGATATTAAGCAGGACAAGTTTATAATTTCAAATGCCTTGGTTATTTCAAAATGCATCTCATTTTATCATTTTGGTTGTCTACCTCTGCCTTTTCCTCCTGCTTCTTTCAAACTTCTTTAAAATGGGTATCTAATATTTCAGCCTATGGACTCAGACCAGTGGGCAGGAACTAAGCTATTGTATGGGGAAATGAAATGACAGAACCCTTTAGGGGATCTATAAGAGGGTGACATTCTTTAAGTGGAAAATGTATTTCCTCTTGCTTTCAACCTACAAAAGACCTCTCTTTCTTGAGTTTTACAAGTAACACTTAGCCCCTAATATGTGCCAACACTGGCCTAAATAAAATGAGATATTTACTCCCTTATTAAATCTGTCCTCTTCCTGAGTTGCCATGTCACCTTGCCAACAACCTGGGAAGACAAGTTTTATTATCATACCCATTTTGAAGACATAATTGAGTACCTTAGTTACTGCTGGTAAGTGGTGGGGCTGAAATTTGAACTTGGCTTTTCCTCTTCCATTTTCCATGCACCAATCCAGTGTGTATTTGTTTTCTATTGTCATGTAACTACCACAAATCTAGGTGGCTTAAAACAGCATACATTTATTATCTTGCCACTTTCGTGGATCAGGAGGTGAGGCATGGCTTAGTTGGGTGCCTCTGCTCAGAGCCTCACATGCCTGCAATCAAGGTGCCAGCCAGGCTGTGTTTTCATCTGGAGGCTCGACTGGGGAAAACCCATTCTTAAGCACATTCAGGTAGCTGACAGAATTTATTTCCTTATGGTTGCATGAGTAAGGACTCTAGGTTTTGTTGGCTGGAGATTAGAAGCTGCTGTCAGATCCTAGAGGGTGCCTTCAGTTCCTTGCTGCCTCACGTGGCTGTTTACTTACTTCATCAGACCAACAGGAGAATCTTTTACCAAGTTAGGTAAGATTGGAGGAAGGATTGGAGAGTTTGTGGTGAAAATCTGAGTATATGTGGCTTAGTCACTAATTTTGGGTTACCATTTTGGGGAAGCTGCATTTTTTTAAAGATTAAGAGTGAGAACTCAAAGTTCTAATATATAGTATGTTAAAGATTTGCAATGTCTGCCTGGACTTGGTTGAAACCATTCACTCTTCTTCCCATGAGTTTATTAAACCTTCCTGTGAGGTTCTTGCCTAACTGTTTTCCCAAAGGGAATGTGGTAGTGAGGCAAAGGAAGGAATCAAAATGACTCCCAAATTTCTGACTTTAGAAACTGAGTGGGTGGTCATTTCATTTGCAAAAGACCACCAGGCTGGGGTGGTGGGAGGAGTGGAGGAGAGTTAAAAACAAAAGATGCAACCTTATTGCACCTTCCATCAGTTTGGAATATTATCCCAGACAATTCTGAATATAATTCTCCAGTTAGTCTGAAGAAATTTTCTATTAACAGAAAAAGAACCAACAAAAACAAAAAAAATAAGAAATAGATCCTGGATAAAATATAATTGCATTGCATAGCTTGACTTATGGGATAAAGAGGAATCTCAAAGGTTCTGCACTCCAGTTTAAAATATTCACACATAAACACACACTTAAAAAGACTCAAACGGGAGCTGTAAGTACTATGGAGAAAAATTAGCAACTGAAGGGTAAAGAGGGTTACAATATTATGTAATTTGGTGGGAGAAAGTTATATTGAGGTTGAGAGATTTGACAACTTGACAGAAGTGAGAAAACAAACAGTGAAAATAATTGCAAGAAAAACATTCCAGAAAGAGGGGCTTGCAAGTGTAAAGTCTCTGGAAAAATAATATGTCAAGGCCAATATGACAGGAGTAGAGGGAACAAGCAGGAGAGAAGTCAGAGAATGGATTAGAGAGGAAAGAGAGTTTAGACTTATAAAAACTTTATTCTGACTTTTATTCAGAATGAAATGAAATGGGCTTGAGCAAAGAAATGACATGATATAATTTTAGATTTTTAAAACTCTTCTTGTCTGCTATGTGGAGAAAAGGCTGAGTGATGTGGGTGACCAGTTGGTTGCTCATTGCAATAAAGCCAATAGGAAATGATGAACCAGAGTACTCATGAGATGGTGAGAAGTAATCAGACTCGATATATTTGAAGTTAGATCTAGCAGGGTTTAATGGTAGATTAGATATGGTGTGTGAGGCAAATAGAAGAGTCAAGGATGACTCCAGGCTTTGGGGAGATGATGTTTTAAATGAATTTGACTATGGAGAAGTGAGGGATGGCTCAATAACTAGACAAGCACAAGAGATCAAAAGTAACTGTTTAAAAATGTTTTT